TTTGTCATTTACTGAAAGCGTGAGGCGAATCAAGGGCCTTCTCTTGCTCCCAGGCACTTTGTTTACACCGTGGAACCACACTGCTCTTTATACTACTTTGTGCACAGCTCATCAAGGGCAAACCTCAAATTTATTTAAACTTTTCTATATTTTTAATTTTTAAAGACTAGAGCTTAGAGATTGAACCACTTTCTCTTTAAATAAAAAATTATGATAAAGGATCAATAGGTTTAATTTTCCATCAGAAAATAATGGGCAATGTTGTGTACATTCTTACGTCATCTGTGAATAAAGGCATTTCTACATCTTTCTTTCTGGACCATATGCCTCTTTTTTGTTTTGTTGCAAATTGCACTGAATAACAACTCAGTTAAATACTAAATAGCAGGGGTGAGAGAAACCACTCTGACTTGTTTTCAATATTAGAGAGAAACCATTACATCTTTCATTATGAAATATGTGTTAGAAATAGGATTTTTGTTTAGTTTAATTTAATAGATAAGTGATAGTTTAAATCAATAATAGTAATAACATATTTTGGGATTTAGTATGACAAAGTTAGCACTAGGGATTGGAAAGTAAACACTTATAAGAGTCTTATATGTGAAACGACATCATATTATTTGAAGATAGATTATGAAAAGTTAAATATGCATATTTTAAAATCTCTAGAAAAGAGAAGAAATTTCCTTATGTAGATGAGAAAATCAAAAAACTCACAGCAAAGTGATAGATATAAATCCAACTTAGCAGTATTATGTATAATAAAAATGACCTAAGCACTTAAGATTAAAAACAGAAATTATCAGACTAAATTTAAAAGGAAAAGAAATTATCAGCCCAAATTCCATGCTGGCTTAAAACAACCGTTGTAAATATGAAGACACATGTATATAAAAGAGTAGGAATAAACACACAATTTAAGTATCAAGCATTAAAAATCTGGACTTGCTGTATTAATACCAAAGTAAATTTCAGAACAAGAAATATGACCAGAGAAATAGACAGTCATTTCATTAAGATAAAAAGATCAATTTACCAACAATACATTCAGTCTAAAATGTTTAAATACCTAATTATAGAGCTTCAAAAAACTGAAGCAAAAACTGACAGAACCCAAGGGATAAATAGACAAACTAACAATTTTAACTTAAATCTGACTAAATACTTATATCCAAACTGTATAGATAGATAATGGGTAGAAGATGGTAGACAGACATATGAACTCCTACAGCTTGGTAAGAAACAAACAACTATATTTGTTTAAATGAACAAAAGATTAAATGAAAATTCATAAAAGAAGAATGTCCAATGTATATATGTAAAGATACCCAATATCCTTTGCCAAGAGAGAAAAGCAAATTAAAACTGTAATAAGATAGCATTACAGACTTGCCAGAAAGGCAAAAATGTAAAAGACTGATAACACTAAATAGAAGCATTGATGTGGGACCACTGAAACCCTCATACATTAATAATAGAAATGAAAAATTATACAACTACTTAGTTCCATTTGGCAATCTCTACTGAAATTTGGCCTAGAGATTCCCCAAATTACAAGTATTTAAGAATTTTCCCCAAATTAAAAAAAAAATACATGCACATAAAAATTTGGACACATATGTTTGTAGTAACTTTATATGAAGAGTCAAAAACTAACAATAACTCAAATATCCATTCAATAGATATATTAATAAACAATTTTATTTTTATGATAGAATACTACTCAGCATTAAAAGCCCTACTTATACACACAAAAACAAGATTGAATATCAAAATCACTATGTGAAGCCAGAGAGTCCGGGCATAAATGCGCACCTACTATTCAATTCCGTTTGGGTGAAACTCTACAAACAACAAATCTAAGACAGATTCTTCTGGACTTATAATAGGATTACATTTATGTCATAAAATAACTCATCTCACGTTTAAAACACTGCAGGTTGAAAATGCATTTAATAGACCTAATTTGCCAAACATCACAGCTTAGCCTAGCCTGCCTGAAATATGCTCAGAATGCTTACATCAGCCCACGATTGGGTAAAATCATCTAACACAAAGTCTACTTTACAATAAAGGGTTGAATATCACATATAACTTATTGAATACAATACTGAAGTACGGTTTCTACTAAGTGCATATTCCTTTTACACAATCGTAAAGTCAAAAAACTGTTAAGTTAAGGACCATGTGTATATAGTAATAGAAAGTAATAGAAAGCAAATCAACAGTCACCAGCTGCCAAGGGTAGGTAGGGGAATCACCCGGCAGAGGTTCAAGGGAACATGAGAGTGATGAAAAATGTTTTCATCTTTGTTGTGGGACAGTTACACATGTGTATTAATTTCTCAAAGCACATTAAAGTGTACACTAAAAATGAGTCCTTTTTCTCAGATGTAATTTATAACTCAATAAGGCTGATGTTGAAATATTATAGAAGCTGATGTGAAAATATTATAGCTGATGTGAAAATATTACAGATTTTCATTCAACAGTAAAGAAAAAATTAAAATTTTGGAAATAGGCTGTGTTAAAATATACTATCTGAAATTCCTAACTTTAAACAAAGGTAATTTCACAATATTTTCAAAAGCTGAAATGTGTATATGTACCTTCTATAGCAAATAATGTATACTAGAGTTAAACATTTCCAAATTCAACCACATATATATATATATATACACACACACACACACACACACACACACACACACACACAATGGTGTTCATTCCATAATTCTTTGTAATAGTAAAACAAGAATGAAATAATTTAAATGGCAATGGATAAAAGATTCATTGGTTAAACAAACAAGGCAATATTCATTCAATGGAGTACCACACTGCTATAAAAAAGAATGAGAATGTGCTTTATATTCTGAAGTGGAATCATATATAAGATACATTATTAAACAAAAAGTAAAGAGCAGATCAATTTTATAATATACTAAGTTTGTGACTTAAAATTTGTTTACTTTTATGTTCTTGAAGTTCTGAGGGAGGATATACAGAAAACCTATCACACTGGGTGTTCTGAACGGGAACCCCTATTAATGGGTGTCAGGAGTTGAGAATTTTTAAAATACATTGTTTTAAATTTTCTTACTTCAAACCATTCAAAAAAGAATGAAAAGCAATATGAATTTTTTGAAATAAAAATATTATTGGTATAATAGATAAAGAAATGGATTCACATGGAGAAACAGACTGATTTTTTTTTTCAATTTGAGGTCAGAATAAAGGAAGCACTTCAAATCATAAAGATAGAATTGGCTATTTCATAAATGGCATTAGACAACTGAAAATAATTAGATCTGAATTAATAAGCAATATTTTTATATCAAGTATTAGAAAAGCAAATTCAAATTGGTTTCAGCAAAGAAGGAATTTCTTGGCTTATGCAATGCATGTTTAGGGGAGTACTAGGCTCATATGTGGCTTGATGACAGTGCATATAATATTTCAAAGATCTCTTTCTCTTAGTTATGCTCTTTTTTTTTTCTGTGCATTGTCCTTATTCTCAAAGTCTTTCCCTGAGACTTTGCAGCTCTAGATTGCACATGTTTTCTCTCCTTACATACTGTTAGTACTTCCATATTTATAAAGCAAATTGAATTTCATATGTCAATTGTAATTCACTGCATTAATAAAATGAAAAGATAAAATATGTAATTTTCACACTAGGGGCTAGAAAGGCATTTGATAAAAGGCAAGCCTTTTTCTCATAAAAGGTGGTAGCAAATTAAAATACGAGGGGCCTATCTTTAACTTGGTAAAAGATATAATGTACACCAAAACCTATAGCAAACCTTGTACCTAACGGAAAAACTATTAATGCATTCCCTTTGAAACCAGGAACAAGATGAAAAGGTGTACCAGCACTGCTACTGTTAAAACACACTATTAGAAGTTTTGGTAAAGTCTACAAAGAAAAAAACAAGAAATAATATAAGCTTTAGGAGATAAGACACAAAGCTGCCATAATTTGCAGATAATGTGAATATCTTCTTATGAGATATTTGGTTCTCTACAGCAAGAATAACCAGACAGTAATTTAAAAAGGATAACATTCTCAATAGCAGCGAAAACAATGAATTGTTTAGGAATAACTTTTAAAAAATATACAAGACCTCAATGGACAAAACTTTAAAACTGGAAATAACATGGAATATGATCTCATTAAGGAGGAAGCATTTCATGTTCTTGTTTTCTCTATTACCAAAAGTCATTATTCCTTAAGTTAATATAAATATTCAAGGAAACCACAAGAAAAGAAGGAAACTTGTTCTACCAGATATAAGATATTCTACAAAAGTCAGTAATAAATATAATGTGCTATTGGTGCAGTAACAGATGAATGAACCCATGACTATTCCAAAGAGTCCAGAGACAGATCCCCAGTGTGTAGGATAACGTTGTATATCATAAAGGCAGCACTACAAATCAATGAGGAAACCTTCAAGACCAAAGGTTGCCGAAAATTTGGTTCAAAGGGAATTCTCATACCAGGGGGAGGGTAAATTATTACAGCCACTACGGGATGCAATTTGAAATGAGCATTCTTATACACTGTAACAGATCAAGTCTTGCACAGGTGCCCTAAGAGTCCTGTATAAGTATGTTCATAGCAGCACTGTTTATAATAGAAAGAACAAGGAAACAATCTGAATTGCCAACATGTAGAGAATAGATGGGAAACTTAAATGATCGATATGTAGTATAAAACTGTATACACAGCAATAAAATGAAAGAACTACAGGTATACTAAAAAATACAGATGAGTTTTGGCAACAATGTGCAATGAAAAAGCAAGTTCCAGAAAACCACACAATGTATGATATCATATTTATTATACCACAAAGCTGAAGGCACAGGAGACAACTGCATGTTGTTAAGAGGCATGTATATGTGTGTTTGTATGTGTGCATACATGGAAATTAAATTATTTTAAACACTGTTTAAAAATAAAAAATCATTCTTTGGAACTTCTGGCTTACCTTGTATACTCTAGCGAGATCTCCTAGGCAGAGAGTTAGAGATGCATACAGTAAAAATCCTTTTGCATTTACAGGAATGGTGAATGTCCAGAAGATACAGAGGGAACACTGACAATGCCTGCCATGCAAAGAAACAGAAACACAAAATTCAAGCTAATGATTACTTGTGGGGTTGCAGCAGGTGTATACAATAGGGGAGAGTATTTAGTAGAGGAAATAATATTTGTGATCTGCTAGTTAGTAAATTTCAGCTGGGAAGGGTAAGTTTGTATTATTAATCTTATTAATAATGTTTTATAACATATTCTTTCAATACTTCCTAAGAATGATAAAAATAAAAATAAAACATTTTTCTTGCAAAGAAAAAGCAAGCAAAGAAAGAAAGACAGACAGACAGAAAGAAAGAAAGAAAGACAGAAAAAAAGAAAGAAAGGTCCGATTAGGAAAGAATTGTTCCCAGTTACAAAACAAAACAAAAAACTGTTAATTGCAGCTCTGTTTTCTACAGAGTACAAGTAAGAAAATGTTTGATATTTCTTCAATAATTGCTTTCTTTCCTTTTCCTTTTCTGTTTCTCAAGATTTCTTGGGCAGAATGTATAGCTATACATTCATTAATATTCAATATAATATATTAAAAATCTAGTTGGTTCTGTCTCACAGATAATTAAATGCTCACCTTTTCCCCACAGACAGTGCCTGCTAGATACCAAGTGAGAAGGACATGCTGTGGAGTGGACATTTCTGTTCTTCTTGTCCCCACAATCCCTCTCCTTTTCCTTACAGCATCTCCAGAGTTGGAAAAGGAGAAAGGCAACACAGGGAAGGGGTGAAAGTCTTGCTAACTGTGGCTATTATAGTCCACTCTTGGCTGATGTCCTCTGCCCAAGTGGGTACCTTCTACTACTCTCTGAGTCATCTGGGAAGCCCCACGAGAGGAGTCTAGTCACCAGTGCTCAATTCCCTTGTGTGCAGGATGCATTGTCTCTCTAGCCTCTTATGCTCCCACTACCTTTGGTACTCCTAGCATCTGGCTGCTGTTGTCCCTTCTGCCAGCAGTGTTCTCAAGAAAGGTGCCAACTTGGAGCACTGATATCTGGAAACTCAGATATCTGCCATCTCTGTTTTACTTACGAGATTTCCCTTTAGCTTATTGGCCTTTGTTATAATAATTATTACAACAATCCTGTAAGTCCCTATTTCTAACATCATTTTACAAATGAGGAAAGTGGTGTTCTAAGAAATTAAGAAAGTTGCATGTGAGTGCTGGGGCTGAGCAGAACTGAAGCAGTCTGACCTTAAAACCTGGAGCCAAATGATAATCAATAGGATTCTTGGAGGAAATGAAATCAGACAAATGGAGGTAATTTAATTCAGGCCATGTTCAGATGTGATGAATCACTCCTGTCTACAACAGAAACCTTATTCATTTTCCTTGAGATTTACTGTTCATCTTTCCTGAACTATGCTGGTTGTTAAATCACTAATCCATAAATGCCAGTACTTTGGCCTTTTTGCTTATTCTTTCTAAATTCCATACCCATTAACATTTTCTTTAGATACATTTGATGACATTGGTTAGGCTACAATTGTGTCTGATGAGAAATTTGAGAACCTATTCACCTTATTTTTTTTCAATATGAACATAATTTTAAAAATTGACAAGTAAAAATTATATATACTTATGGTAGAAAACATGATGTTTTCATACATTGTGGAATGGCTAAGTCAAGGCAAAAAAATAGAATAATTAAAACAATTATAAAAAAGATTAAAGTTAGAAGATTCAAACTGGTATATAGATGATCTAATATCTAGACTCCTTAAAAAGGTTACAGTAATGAAGAAATGAAAAACATGGAGTATTTGTTGAAGGGCTAGATACACGGATTATTGGAATAGATTGGAGAGCCTAGAAATAGATCTACAAAACAGATGCAAAAGTAATTCAATAGAGAAAAATGCTATGGTCTTTTTGACAAAAAGTGTTGGAACAATTGGGTGTACATATTTAAAAAAGTGAACCTGACCTAAATATCAAGCCTAAAACAAAAATTAACTCAAAATAGAATTATAGACATAACAATAAAAAATATAAAACTATAAAACTCCTACAAAATGCATCCTAGATTTTGCAAAGAGTTCTAAGATATGATATTAAAATAATATTTAAAAATAATAAATTAGAGTTCACAAAAAGTAAAAACTTTGAAAATTTATTCTAAAACATACATTTGCCACACAAATCTAGGAATCCCATTTCGAGGTATTTACTCAAGTGAATTGAAATATTTTGTTTATATACAAATCTTTATGAGAATGTTTATAGCAGCTTTATTCATAATCACCAAGAACTAGAAACAATCGAATTGTCCTCCAATGGTGAGTGGCTAACGGAACTGTTATATCCACACAACGAAGTGATTGAATATAGGCCTTGAGCTGGGGAAAACAAAGTGAGCCTGGAAATATTGTGATGTCAGAAAGGAAAGAAGTATTCAAAAAAGGAAAGCAAATAAATAATAAATAAAAAGAATGATGATTTTTAAAAAGAATGGTGATTATTAAAAAGTCAAGAAACGATGCTGGCGAGGTTGTGAAGAAAAAAGGAACATTTTTACACTGTTGGTAAGAATGTAAATTAGTCCAACTATTGTGGAAAACAGTGCATTGATTCTTCAAATATATAGAAGCAGAAATACCATTTTGACTCAGCAAGTCTATTACTGGGTTTATACCCACAGGAATGCAAATCATTCTGTTATAAAGACACTTACACACATATGTTCAATTAGCACTATTAACAATAGCAAAGACATGGAATTAAGCTAAATGTCTATCAATAATAGACTGAATAAGTAAAATATGGTACATACATATCATGAAATACTGTGCAGCCATTAAAATGAATGAGATCATGTTTTTTCCAAGGACATGGATGGAGCTGGAAGCTGTTATCCCCCAACCTAACGCAGGAATGGAAAACTAAACACCACATGTTCTCACTTCTAAGTAGGAGCTCACTGAAGAAAACACACGGACAAATTGTGGGAAATTACACACACTGGGACCTGTTGCTAGGGTGAGGTGAAGGAGAGCAACAGGAATAACAGAATAACAGCTAATGGATGCTGGGCTTGATTCCTAGGTGATGGGTTGTTCAATGCAGCAAACCACCATGGCACATGTTTATCTATGCAACAAACCTACACGTCCTGCATATGTACCCTGAAACTTAAAATAAAAGTTGATGAAAAAATATATAATGATGCAGTATTAAATATAACTGCATAAAATTAACTACTCTAATAATTTTGTAGCCACCTTCTGTTGCTATGGCAGTGAGCTCAACTGTTGCAAGTATCCACTTTAAAATGACATATGACTCTATTCTTCTCCATGTGAGCAGTTTGTCTCTCCAGTAAATTATGTATCACAGTAAAAAGTGATCGCTCACAGATCTTACTTATTTTTCATTGTGTTAGTGCAATACCATAAGCCTTGAATAATACCAAAGAACTCAAATGAAGTGCCACTGGTAGAACTGGACGTGCTCCCAAGAAGCAGAGAAAAGTCACGACATTACAAGAAAAAGCTGAATTGTTTGATAAGTACCATACATTAAGGTCTGCTGCTACAGTTGCCTACTATTTCAATGTAAATAAAACCAGAAGACTTTTTTAAAAAAGAAAAAAAAATCATAAAGCTGTTGCTGCATCTACATCACCAAGTATGAAATCCTTGTATTTTTAAATTTTTTTTCGCAAAATACCTTTTTATCTCATGTAGAAAACGCAGCGTTTATGTGAGTGCAGGATTTTCCTAAGAAAGGCATATCTATAGACTCTTAATATGGTTCGAGGAAAAGTGAAGCTAGAATATGACCCCTTAAAACAAAAGGAAGATGAAGGATATAAAACTGGAAAATTCTATGTCAGCAAAGGACAGTTTGATGATTTTAGAAGGACATTTGACCTAAAAACTGTCAAGAAGCTGGGTATGGTGGCTCACACCTGTAATCCCAGGTTGGGTGTCTGCTAGCTCTTGAATTTCTGCAAGATCAATATCTTGAAACTTTTTACCCCTCATCATTTTTGCCATAACCACAACCTCTCTGATGGTCTCCTTGATTGGCTCTGTCATAAATTTTGTGAAGTCACAGACAATAATCTGAACACAGTTTTCCCCAGCAGGAATTTATGGTTTGGGGCTTGATGGCTTTCATAGCTTCTTCTACAACAGCAAAGGAATTAACAGAAGATAACTTCATGGAAATAAGCATTTACAAACCAGTGCCAGACAATGAAGAAGAGAGAAAAAGAGCAGTGCCAGAAAAATTGGCATTAGACAATCTGACAGAAGGGCTCTAATTATCGGAGGCTGCTTGTGACTTCTTTTGCAAAATGAACCCTTCTACGATACAGGCACTTAAACTAAAGCCAACACTGGAAGAAAGATTGGTATCATATAGAAACATTTTAACAGAAATGAAAAAGCAAACAATCAGACAGAAATTAGCATCTTTCTGTACAGTTACACTAAGTTTGTTTGCCTCCCACACCTCCTGTTCAACCTCATCCACCTCTTTCACTGCTGCCACCCCTGAGACCACAAGACCAATGGCTCCTCTTCCTCCTCCTCAAACTACTCAATGAGAAAATCATGAGGATGAAGACCTTTATGAAGATCCGCTTCCAGTTAATGAATATTATGTATATTTTCTCTTCCTCATGATTTTCTTAATAACATTTTCTTTTTTTCTAGCTCACTTTATTGTAAAAATAGGGTATATGAAGCACGTAACGCACAAAATATGTGCTAATCAACTGTTATCAGTGAGGCTTCTGGTAAACAGAAAGCTATTAGTGGTTAAGTTTTTGGAGAGTCAAAAGTTACATGTAGATTTTTACCAGCTCAGAGTGCCTGCACCCTTAACCCCCTTGTTGTTCAAGGGTCAACTGTATATATCCTATTGGTTGTGTGTCTCTGAAGAATCTTGAATAAAATGATTTTCAAATACTTGGGACTATTCCAAAGGCCTTTCTTTTTTTAAATTTCTAATTTTTCCATTGTGATCAGACAACATACTTTGTAAAATTTGAATACTTTCAAGTTTAGG